TTGTTCATGCAGAGAAAGAGGAGAAAGTTAAAGATGATGAGGGAGACCTGGTCTCAGTGGATTATACAGCAATTAGAAACCATCCTCCTATCCATAACTAGCCTTGAGTGCTCTTTTCTTTTTGGTAATGGTCAATACTTGCCACGATATGTATTTTTTATAATTTACATGTTAATTTTCTTTGAAAAAACAATTTTTTTTATTTATTTTTCTTATGCATGAGACTATATATATCTAATGATATTAGATATATTTAATGGAAGAGTTTGTTGTCCACTATAATCTTATAAGGATCAAACAAGATTGTCTCTATGTTTGGATTAAACCAAAAAAATGACCTCAATATATATATTTATTTTAGAGACAATTACACGTGTGGGTTAACCCTAGTTTTAACTTAGATGTGTGTTGAAAACTTGAACTCAAAATTATAAGTTATGCTAATAATAATAATAATAATTGATTATTGAAATTACAGATGTATAACTACTAATGATAACATTACGTTAATTAATAGGAAACTAACCTAATAGCATTTCACGGATTAAACAACCTAATAGCACATTGGTTTTTGATTTAAAACAATTTTAAAACGCATCATCTTTGTCATGATTGATTTATAAAGCCTCTAAAAAAAGTAACTTATATAAGCTTATATTGTGGACAAATCTTAAGATTGAAAGTTTTTACATTTCAATTTTGATAATTACTTACTGTCACTAATGACAGTTGTTTTAATAATACCATGAGCTATATCTTAAACTACCTCAGTCGAAGGTTTTATCAGTCCATAGTATATATAATTAAGATTATCAATTCGTAATTGTGAGTGTTTAATTTGTAAGTTATAAATTTCTTTTTTTTTTTTTTGGTTAGAAATATTTAAAATAATTTTTTCATCAGTTAAAATTAGTTTATACATCAAAATAATTTGTCATCAAATCTCTCTTATATAATTTTTGTAAAGTTATGTATAAAATAATTTATAACTTCTATGAATTCTTACTTTTAACTTATATCTGAAAAGTATTTTTCTCAAAAAGTTGGGCAACGGATAAGAGCATATTTTTGGATCACTTCTACTTTCAAATCTTTAGAGTTTTACATAATTCTAGGAAAAATGAGAGGTTTGCATAATATTAAGTAAACTAATATAAAAACATGAGAATATTATGATAGTAAATAAGTGTATATGCAACAAAATTTAAGTAATAAATAATACTTGTTTTTATTATCAATATTAATATTAGTTTATTACATAGATTTGTTTATGTATTATTATTGAATTAAAATATATTTAGTAAAAGTTATATGAAGAAATTCCTCAATTTAAGTAAATGTATATAATTTGAAAATTTAGATAGGTATATATACAGGTTTTTTAGGTTTAAAGGTTAAAATAAAATCTAGAAGTGAGTTGATTAATTTTTGCTAATAGATTCTAATTTATAGTTTAAATTAGGTTGTTAAAATGATGGTCTGATTTATTCTGATTAAACTTATGGGTCAAATAAAAATAATAATGAAATAGGTTGACTTATATTTTAAAATAGACTATAATCTTATATTTATTATGACTTATAATAATAAGTCAATTTTATCTTAATTGAAAATAATATATATATATATATATATATATATATAAATGTTTTCAAGTAATTAATTAATAAAATATTTAAATAAAACCTAAAAATAATTCATCTATTTTTAAAATTTAAATAATATTAATAAAATTAATTTTAATTTTAAATATAATTATTTAATATATAAATTATAAGAGAGAAAATTCATTAAATCCTAATATAAAGTTAAATTTATTTTTTAGTAATTTATTTATCTTAAATAGTAATTCATCATTAAATGTTAGAATAACTGTGAATTTCATACTTATCCTTGAAATAAGTGAATCATTTCTTAAATTAATTTATAATATATATAAAACTCTTTTTTTTTAATCTTAAAATTTGGTTTGTCATCTATCGTAATTTCGGTTACGATAAATATTTATATATTTTTAAATAAAATAATATTACTTTTATTTTATTAAAAAAAAAAACTATGATTGGTTCATAAGCCTACCGACTAACTTAATCTAAACTCATAAGTATGACCTAAACCGGACGAGTTAAAATAGATTTGATTTAATTTAAGTTACAAATTTTTTTGTTTATCTTAACAATTTTTTGAAGTCTTTCAAGCCGATCCAACGAGCTAACCTTATTTTGACATTCTTAATTTAAATGTTTTACTTCTTTAATTTTTCTAGGGCTTTATAGTGTTAATATGACTTCACATTTATAGAGGATTATTTGAAATAGTAATGCATCATTAAATCTTAGAATAACTGAATTTGAGACTTACTCTTAAAATAAGTGAATCATTTCTTAAATTAATTTATAACAAAACTTTGATTTTTTGAATCTTAAAATTTGGTTCATCATCTACTACTTCGGTTGCGATAAATACTTATATATTTTTAATAAAATAATATTTATTTTATTTTATTTAAAAAATTATGATTGGTTCATAAACCTATAGACTACCTTAATCTAAACTCATGTAAGTTATGACCTAAACAGGTCGAGTTAAAATATATTTGATTTGATTGAAGTTACAAAATTTTTTTGTCTATCTTAAATTTTTCATGTCTTTCAAGCTAATCCAACAAGTTAAGCATATTTTGACATTCCTAATTTAAATGTTTTATTTCTTTAATATTTCTAGGGTTTTATATTGTTAAGATGACTTCAGTTTATTTCAATTCCTCTTTGTGTACTCATTAAGTTTGAGAATTTTCTTCCTTTAACCTTAAATACACATTTTTTCTAGATTTAATATCATATTATAATTTTGTACCTTTGCAAAAACTCTTTCCGGGTGCTTAGGATGATTGTGAATTTTGTCAAATTTGATAACCATGTCATATACATATATACCTCCATAATATTGTTGATTAAACCTTTAAATATATATTTTGTCTATTAATCTTTGATAGGTGGCACCTACATTCTTCAAATCAAAGGACATAACATTTAGTGGCGAGCTTCTTGTAAGGTGAGGACAATCATAACTGCTCTAAAGTTTTGTAATATATATTAGTATTTATAATTTTGGTCCCCTCAAACTTGATTGTATATTACAAATTTAATCTTTCGAGTCTTTCCTATTTTTTATCTTTTTATATTTATTTATTATTTATGAATAATAAATTATTTAGTTCATCAAGATCAATAGTCAACATCCACCACTGATAACATTATAACAAAAATTAGTTCATTTTGTAATAAAAGAAGTATTTTATTCATTAGGAAGATACATTTTGATTTAATTGTAACTTGAGTATGCATTTAGAAAACTAAGTACCTCGTAATCAAATTTGTTATCTAATAATTTGTCTATACTTGACAATGGGTATGAGCCTTTAAGATAAGCTTTATTTAGGTTAGTATAATTAGTATACATGCATTATTTATCGTTAGATTTTTTTTTTACTAATACCACATTTTCAAACCATGTTATATGTGTTATTTCTTGGATAAAATTAGCTTTTAATAATTTTTCAACTTTTTATTCTACAACTTGACACCTTTTACTAATAAAACAAGTTTATGATAAATAAAATTAGGACATATACCTGACATGTCTATCGCACTTCAGTTAAAAAGGTTGACATTTTTGTTGAGTACCTCCTCTACTCACCTTTGTAACTCATGAATTATAATCCTTTTGACATGTGTTACTTGGTCGAGCTCTGATATGAGCTGGTAGTCAAAGATTGATTCATCAACTTCAACTTTGTGTCATTGGTCAACATCTAATTCTTCCACATTATTATGGTAATGTAAGCATTCTACTTGGGATGAGAGAATAGAAGTCTTGCTAATAGTCTTCCTTAACATGTATGGGTGTATCTTCAGTCTAAGAGCATAATGTTTTCCTCATTTTCGAGTCTACTTTAACAATTGCAATGATTCGTTCACTTATTGAAAATTTCATGGTCATGTGTGGTGTGGACACAATGACTCCCAATTGATTAAAGATAATGATCAGAATATATCTGACCACTATGCTCCTACCTTCTTTTCATGTACCAAAAGTGATTAGTAAATCAATGTACCCATATGTATGTATTCTTTCTCCAACAAACCCTACTAAAGAATCTAGATAAGCTAGAATCAAACTATGTGTCATCTTCATGTTCAAGAAAGTTTACCAATACAACATGTTTGTCGAGCTCCCCTAATCAATTAGGATTTTCTTGGCTCTCTAATTACTGATAAAGATGGTGATCACCACAGGATCATCTTAATTTGGATTATGTGTGTTATAGTCATAATCGATGAAGGTTATGGAGCGCAATGTCCTCGACTTGTGTGATTAGAATATTTTAACATCGTGGACAACTTTCAAATGTCTTCTTTGGGTTGAAATTATACTTCCTTCTCTTGCAAACTCACCTACAATAATATTAATTATTCTTGGAACTTGTCCCTCATTTGAAGCGCTTTATGAGTTAGAGGTTGCAAGTTGTTTATTTGTCTTAGGATGGTCGCAGCCTTGTTCTTAATCACCAAATCATCGATGATTCATACCACAAAGTCATCCTCAAAATCAGGTGGTCCAGTTTGGATCAAATTCTTTATGACTTCTCGGACTTTACAGACTCTTTTGCATCCACGGGTGTATATGTTTTGTTATACTCATGAATTTTACTATCGTTTAAAAATCAAAATCAAGGATAAATTAATATACATTTTTCTTTATCTTAAAATTAAATTATACATAATATATAAAATCTTTTGTATAAATATAAGTGGAGTAGTATTGTATTACATCCATATTTAATGAGAACATCAAAATACTAACATCAATATTAAAAAATATTTTATAAACGTTATAGGTGTCATTTATCATATATGAAAGTGAGATTTAATCACATCGTTTCATTTCAGCAGCGGAGAAATATCAACACTAACAACAAATTATGAAACAATATAAAACTAATTAGGTAATTGTACAATGTCATCCACCATAGACGCCACTATAGATCTCTCATCATTTATCACATTACATTTTGCACGAATTTCACCGTTGTTCCCTGTCAACACATTCAATTGGCTCATCTTTATAAAAGCATCCATGAATTTCTGGAAGAATAAGGTTTGGTCAAGTGCAAAGGTCTCCACCAACCCCTTTGTCCTATTATCTGCGTACAGATCTTGATCTGAAGTGAATAAACCTTGGTGGTTGATTAAGTTAATGTAGTATTTGTTATCGAACACTTTGGGTGTTCTAATATCCAAGTGGAAAGTGTTGCGTGAGTACGTAGTGGGACAAGTGGAATTTAGGAGTTTGGCTAGGGTTTTGTCCATGTTGGGGTCTGGAGGAGAAACCCTATTGTAGAATGTGTGGCAATGGGCATGACCAATAGTGTGTGCACCTGCTAAGGCCACCACATCTGTAACATCCAAGTTTTTGGATGCAAAGGTTTTGAGGGTCACATTGGTGGTGTTGTAGGGTAATGGAAGGTTGTTTGCTTCTTCAATGCTAAAGTTCAGACTATCTCGTCTTCCAAGTGGCACTTTAATATAGGGTCCTCCAGACTGTACAAGATTGAAACAAAATTAAAAGTTCAAAAAAATGTTTGAATTGTTTTTTCTTTTTTTTGAAACACTTCTTGAAATTTTATTTTATTTTCATAAAATTCAATTTTTTTTTAAAGTAGCTAATAGGGATGATGAAATTACAAGAAAAATAGCATCACGAGCTGCTAAGACAGTGATATCTGCACAAGAAACGATCCTTCCACAGTCCCTCTGAACAAGCTCTCTTAGGTCATCAATGGTCTGCAGGGCCTTATGGTTTATGCCTCTGTTCAGTGGTTCATCCCTTTCTCCTGGATTCCCATCCAGTAACAAAGATCCATCACATCCCTACAAATTCAACAAATTAATCACTAAGGGAGACTATAATATTGGCCTAAACCTAAGGATTAAAAGCACAAGTTACCTGAACAAAGCAATCATGGAAGAAAATGACCAGTAAGGCTGGAGCTTGCCAGTGAGCTTGCTTGAAGACCTTCTTGAGATGGTTAATGACAATGGTTTCAAGGTTGGGACATGTTTGGGAATAGAAGGAAAATGATAGTCCATTCACTTCTGCCTCAGAGGAAACCAAGAATGAAGTAAATAGCATGGAAGAAATCAAGAACAAGGAATATGAAGACGGCAAAGAACTGGGCTTAGCCATTGTTCTTCGTTTGCCTTGAGAGTCCCATTTGAGATTATTTATAGAACTATGAAGTGCTTTTGAGTTTGATTGGGTTACCTTCTAAATTAGGTTGAAACAAAGTGATTTATTAATTAATTGTCAGAAATTTTATACATAATTTATGTCCTTTTTTTTTAAAAGAGAATGTTCATAAGAAAGGGTTCCTCGAGATCACGAGGAGCCAAAGCGTGAGGCTTCATAACACAAATGGCCAAAAGTTATTGTAAGCAAATTAGAAGTATTCAGAAGAAAATAAAAATCCATTAGATAACAACAAAAGAATGAAAAAGAAATTCAAGAGATTAAAAGTGTTTGATATATTTATATATTAAGGCAATAAATGTTTTATGAAAGGTTTTCCCTATTTTTAATGTTATTTTTACTTGTCATTTTTGCTGTAGAATTTTTATTTCTAATTATTATTTCCTTCTTTATTTGTATCATAAATTTCATCTCTAGCTTTTGTAATTCTAATTTTATTATTTTCGTTTTTTCTTTTAATTTTTTTAATTCTCGATGTAAATCGTTAATATTTATTTTTCTTTCTTTTAATTCAGCTTGTTTGACTATTTTTGCAAAATCATATCCTGCAAAATTATTATTATTATTGGGTGTAGTTGTTTCAGGGGACGAGTTATGGTTTAATATTAAATCTTTTATTTTGTTTCATCATATAAATTTTTCATTTTCATCCTTAATGTTTTCTACCACTTCTAAAGCTAATTTTGTTCCTGTCTTAATCATATTTATTTTATAAATATAATCACAATCTTCACCTCCTTCCCACGAATCTTCATTATCTATTTCTTCTTTATATGAACTTATAATTTCTTTTACTATTTTACATACGTTGTCTTGTTCTTCATTCTCTATTATTCGAATAGAGTTTTGAAATCTAAAGATTTTTTTTTATTTCTTCGAGTGTGGTTTTAGTGTCTCTTCCAATTTTAAGGTATTTTAATTCTTCTTCCGAAAATTTAAAAAAGTTTTATTAGTGATTTTTTTCCACTACAAAAAAATTGCATTGACAAATTTTTACCGACGGATTTGTGGTCAGTCGAAAAATGAGTAATTACCGACGGATATATCCATCGGTAAAATAATAATTAGTTACCGATGGATATATCCGTCGATAAATTAACAATTAATTACCGACGGATATATCCGTCGGTAAATCCGTTGGTAAATTAATAATTAATTACTGACGTAAATTAACAATTAATTACCAACAGATATTTCCGTCGTTAAAATTATATAATAATTACTTAATATATTCTAATAAATTAATTATTCACCTAATTAAATAATTAAATATTTTTTATTTAATAATTTAATTTAATCATAATTAGATTAATTTATAATAATTTATTAAATTAAATAATTTAAAAAATAAATATTTAATTATATATAAATATATTTGTATATAAATATATAAATATAATTTATTTGTAAATTATTATAAAAAAATTCTAGTAACTTAGTGGTTGGAGTAACAACTTCTAACTCTAAGGTAATGAGTTCGAATCTTACCAATGACAATTCTCTTAATCTAATAATAATTCAAAGCTAAAAAAATATTATGGGGAAAAATAAATAATAAATTTTGAAAATGTAAAGGGGAAGGGGATCTCTTAAAAATGGTTTCCACATAAAAAATCAATTGACAATATGTGAAGTAGTCTAACATGTATTTAAATCATACCAAATTACCTGAAGCACGCGATCACGCACCCTCTAATGAAGTCTACTGGACCAAACAAAGGATATTTTTGACCTAATATGGGGAAAAATAAATAATAAATTTTGAAAATGTAAAGGGGAGGAGGATCTCTTAAAAATGGTTTCCACATAAAAAATCAATTGACAATATGTGAAGTAGTCTAACATGTATTTAAATCATACCAAATGACCTGAGGCACGCGATCACGCACCCTCTAATGAAGTCTACTGGACCAAACAAAGGATATTTTTGACCCATAACGACAGGACAACTCGTGGCCCAAGACAATAACCAGAAATATGTTAGGTTTTGGCTCTGATACCAACTTGAGAAAACTTATTTAAGGTTTGATATAGTGACCAAAGACACAAATTTGCAATAAACTCCCCGTAATGAAATAGAAAATAAAAATCATTTACAAAGCTTTTTAGGGTGTTTAAATTCTATCTCACATTTTATTCCAAATATTAAAATACTTTTATAACTATTATTTAATAAATTATGTGTTTTTATAAAAAATTTACAATAATAAATAAGTTTAGACAAATTAGTATGAGGATTGTCACATTGGGATCTATTTGTAACACCCTACCTTATAAACCCTCACTCGGAAGAATTAATAATTTTTTAGCATAAATTTTGTTTTTTAACCGATAATAATCTTTCCCTTGTACATGATATTAATATACATAAATTTTCAATAATACATTCCTGCATTTCATCATTTTAAAAAGTACTAAAAGTAAACATTCATAATTACATATAGATAAAATATTAGTACAGTCCTCCAAAATATTAAGGCAACATTGGGGATACTTCCTACAGAGCGACTAACTACACAAAACAGTGAATACTACTCAGTACCATGTAGGTCTATATACTACAAAAGACTATCTATAAAAGTTTGGATATGTTTATCCCAATACATGTTGTCATCATTGTGGCTCCCAGCTAACGAGTATGAGTATCATACCCATCGGGTGTGGAATCTGTGCCATCTCCCCTCTCTTCAAACAATGATCGATCAGGTCCAACGAATACCGCAAGCACAAAGGAAATAAAGAAAACGGAAAGACAAGAGGGTGAGCAACAGTTCATACATCATTTTAAAATCAACATCATAAACATTCACAAGTTAATCAAATTTCAAATGATTGATGTTAATGATGCATGATCCTAATATGTTTTCTAAAATGTTTATGCATGCGGGCTCGAATCATTTCTCAAATCAGTACTGGGGTAGTCAGGAGTTGACACTACTAGGCATGGAAAATCCACCCACGGGATTGTTGAGACCCATGCTCAAATATAAACATAGTAGCTCATCGACCATTGATATACGGTAAGAGCACGATCGAGTATAGCAGAGTTTGTACGAGTGGGATCCCCGGACAACGGGTAGCGAGCCTAGGTCTTTTGGGGCCTCCAACCACTACCCTTCCTATCCTCAAGTCCTCCCTCGGGGCCTCCCTATCATATTCTCAGAGTCCATAATCTCCGATTCCCCAGATTTCACAAATCACCATTTTCAAATGAGTAATGTATGAGTCCCTAAGTGGTTTTTCTTAGAAATTCACATTTTTCCAAAAATTTGACAGAGTTTCCCCTGTAATACAGACTTCCCAAAAATTTCCAATCACTTGTTACAAGCAGAAAACTTCCAATACAGTTCAAAAAGGGTTCACAACCCATCATCCAATTCTTTCAATTTAATTTTCAATGAATTTTCTCATGAAAAACCACCATGCATATAAATGCTCTCAAAGATCATACATATCATAGTATCAAGCATATATTTTACATCATCATACACGTAAGCAATTCATGATCACTTTCACAACCAAGCATATAATAAAATCAAAATGATCAATCATAACAAATTTAGACAAATTCAACAAATAAGGTCGAACAAGTTTATGATGTAATCCTTACTATATAGCCCACCCCTTACCTGATAAGTTCACACTTATTCCTTTCAAAGCTTGATGTTGTGTTTCAGCAAAATCTATATACGTAATAAAATGCTAGTTAGAATCTTATATTTCTATGATTCTATCTCATGAGAATTTAAATTCATTTTGTATTGTTAATCCATTTCTAATAATATTTTAAGCTCACATTCAGCTTACAATTAACTTAGAAATTATTCTATTTTGTAGGCACTTACAGTAGAAAGAATCCTAATAACATCCATGGACAAGGTTCAGTATTTCGAAATTTTCTAGAGTTATATAAACTGTTTTGACATGAGATTTGAGCCAAAATTTCAATAACTTAATTACCTACAATATTGATGAAGGAAATAAATTCAAATACCCTATAGAATAGATGCAGTTTTCAGTGGTTGTTTCCAACTAGGCTCAATTACAATAACACTCTGAACATGCCTTGGTAATTTGACTATAACTCATGCTAAATATAAGCTATTGACATGAAACAAATTTCTAAATTTCGGGGATATAATTTCCTACAACTTTTATGAAGGAATTAAGTCCTAATTTCATATGTATCAATCCCAGTAATTCAAAAACCGAGGCTGTTGAAACAGGGCAACATCTTAACGTCACAGCTAGAACACTTGACAGTAAAATGGGTATAACTTGAGCTACCAATATCCGTTTAATGTAAAACCAGTTTCTAAATTTTGACAACTTAAAGGGCTACAACTTTCATGAAGATACCAATTCCTAATTCTATTCACACAAGTCCCAAAAATTCAAGGAATAGTACCTACAAATTAGGGCTCTTAAAGTTTTTAGCTTAACAACTTCTAATCCTCAATTTTAAGCATCATTCTAGTATTCTAGGTGTAAAACCTACAATAACCTTCTTCCTACATCCATTCAAGTTGAGCCAAGTGAGGAGAAAAATAGAAAATGCACCGTTTTGAAAAATAAAACGGTAGAAATGTAGAGGAGATTGAGATAAACCAACTTACTTATTGTAGCTTCTCAAGAAAACCAAGATTTCTCCCTCACACTACTACAAATAAAGCTTTCAACGTCGGTTCTGGAAGGCTTTCAACGTCGGTTTAATAACCGACGTTGTATCAGGCGACGTTGAAAGTCGTAACTTTCAACGTCGGTTGCAAAAAACCGATGTTGAAAAATACACTTTAGATAGCGGTTATAAGGGAACCGCTATCTAATGTCGACTTTCAACGTCGGTTCTAAAAACCGACGTTGAAAGTATGATTTTTTAAATTAATAATTTTTATTTATTTACAACCCCTTTACCCCCCCTTTATTATCTAGAAGTC